ATTCGGATATGTCGTAGTAGACATCCAAATGAATACCTTTCATGAAGAACGAATGTTCATATGAGGACTGGAAGCTGGCCCGAATCGGGCCATAATTAGGCCCGAATTGCCACTGTTTTCAGCTTTCGCTGTTGCTGGTATGCTTATGATGTTTGATGTTGCGAGGATTCCACATTTATCCAAATGATCCCAAGTTTGGATATGTTACAGTAGACGTTCTAATGCAAAACTTTCATGAAGAAAGACAATTCATTAGAGCATTGAAATTAGGCCCGAATTGCTGCTATAAGCTTTTTGCTGGCGCTGTGCATCTGGTGTTTTCAGCTCTTAGGACTCCACATTTGTCCAAATAAACCCAAATTTGGATATGTTGCAGTAGACGTAGAGATGAACAACTTTCGAGGAGGATGAAACTTGATTTGAGCGCTGAATTTGAATTTTGGGCCCACTCCATCTGACTGCAGCAATGCGTGTCTAGCCATATTTTGGCCACTTTGATGTCCATGGAAAATTATCTACCATTTTAGGCAAAAATCCAATTTTTGGTACAAACAAGTATATCATTTCCACATCCCGTTGGAATTAAATTATGCTCGTTATATTGCTTTTAAAAATAAAATAAAATAGAGAGATGAATTGATATATATTTTTATTTGATTTGGATTCGTCGGGACTGACAGGGCTCGAACACTCGGCTTCCGCTTTGACAGGGCGGTGCTTAGGTACACACCAATTCTAATTTAAATTGAATCTAAATAAATTGAAAGGGTTAGAATGAAATCATAAAAGAAATATATACTTTATTTTATTATGGTATTTACTTGGGAGTTTACTGTGGGCACGATAAGTGGTACACTTGAGGTGCGTCCTTCCCGGTCCTCTCGTACTAGGGAAAGGTTCTCTCAATGCTCTAACGCCCCAAAGAAGGGGTTGCCTCAAATTCTCTCATTATTCACAAGCCACAACCCTTACAAGTGGAACCCCCCGTTGTTCAACCCGATTCGACTGACTTTTGGATAATAAGAAGGCTAGATGATCTGATTTGATCAAGGAAAAAGCCCAGTTAGCCACCACGGAATCGACCCCCTTTGATTGTACAAGAATATGCGGAGCTCAACATGTCTAGAAGCACATGAGAATGTTCTTTTGTTGATATTATTACGAGTATTCGATACTGGGTCATTCATAGCATTACTATATCTTCATAGAGTTATTGTTTAGGTAGTTCATACCATCCATACATAATGTTTTGATCTAAGATTTCAATTCTTCCATGTTTCATCAGTAGTTAATATATTGTTCCATGGAGCTAAGGTCCAAAATATGGAAGAAACATGTGTTTCCATGATTCTACCGCCTAGTCAATTCTGTTCCACTTAATCCCTGTTTCATGGCCACATATCTTTCTGACTAAGGAATGAGAAACCTTTCTCTTGTTACATGAATCCAATTTTCATTTCATATGGGGGAAAAGATCTTTTTCTAAACAATGTCTTTGTCATTTGATCCTGTTTGGGGGTGGTGAAAATTCACCCAACCCAAGCACCCTTTAAAAACACAAAAAGACTGGAAGAGTAGTGGCCGAGTTGGAAGAGTAGTGGCCTGGCTTGAAGAGTCGTGGCCGGGCTTGATGAGTTGCGGCTGGGATTGAAGAGTGGCCAGAATTGAGAAGAGTAGAGGCTAGGCTTGAAGAGTTGCGGCCGGGCTGGAGAAGTTTGGCGGCCAGGCTGGAGAAGTTTGGCGGCGGGGCTGGAGAGGGTCAAATATTAAACTAAACAAACTAATTTTGTATAATTTTTTTTTTAAAATCGACAAAATAATTTAAAATAATTAATTACTATTTATTAAGTAATTTATGAAATTAGTAAAATATTTAAATACTAATTATGTCACGCCCGGTCCCGAAATAAAGAATATTCCTGAATCAGGGTGTGTGAATTGAATGAAATAAAAAAAAAATACTGAAAAATTGGTTAAAATACATTACCCTTGTATAAAAAAATAATAATGATCTTACAAGTGTACAAAAACTTTATCACTCTAAACTAATCCAACTTCTCTGATTTCGTCTTTGTCTTGCCCACTAATTGATATGAAAAACAAAATAGGTAAGGGATGAGCAAACCACCGCTCAGTGAGTAGATTATGTAATATATGAGTCAAGCAATGTCATTTTACACACTCTAGAAAATATAATAAAAAGATACACAATCCAAATCATATCACAAAAATTCACGCCCAACACACATCATTACATATCTTGGTTATCGTTCACAAATTGTACCCAATACGTGACCCCTATTGGCGTCACTGCCCTATGTCTCTAACTGGTATATTTATCCTTCGAATACCCTGTCACTGAAGTTTTCATGTTCCATAAATAGTACGTACTTCACAAAAACTCCAAATAATATATATTGTGTGCAATATTGCACAAATTAAACATGATTGACTTGAAAATAGAGAGAGATTTGTAAATATAATAAATCCATGATAATCCATGATTTTCACATTCATCAAGAAATAAGAACTTTTAGAACACATAACATAAACCATTCACCATAATAAGTATGAAATATTACAAGACAAACACACACGTTCTTCATCTTGTCTCTCTCTCTCTCTCTCTCTCTTAAACACTACTTCATGGTACAAATTTATTCTTAAAGAATTGGAATGAATGATTGAAGTAAGGAAGGATGATACTTATAGGAGAGGCTACAGATGCAACCAAATAATATTTATATATACAATATTTTAAACCACGAAAAGATAAGATAGAAAAGTAAGGGAATAATGTGACTTATCCCCCTTTGGCCAATGATATCACAACACCACTTGTTACTAGCATGCAAGGTGGCATGACAATGATGATTTGATTAAAACCAATCCCAAGTCTCTACATGTGGAAAACAAGAATGGTGCCATCTTTCACCTAAATGAATAATCTCATACTAGGGCTTAAGATTTTATAACATTTAGGTCTTCATAAAAAAAATTAAATAAGGAAAAGCCATATTAATAAATAATTAATATGTAGTATGAATATTTCTTTCAAATATATATATAGTTTCTTTTATATATAAAAAAAAAAGGTTCTCACAATCTACCCTCTTTAAAAAAAATTTCGTCCTCAAAATTTACTAAAATTAGGTCACATTTCTTCCCTAGGGGTATCTAATTCTTGGGCGCTCCCTCTTTAAAAAAAATTTCTTCCTCAAAATTTACTAAAATTAGGTCACATTTCTTCCCTAGGGGTATCTAATTCTTGGGCGCTGATACCATTTTATCACAATCCGGTCTGGAAATAAAGAATATTCCTAAATCAGTGTGCGTGAATTAAACGAAATAAAATAAAAATACTTTAAGATTATACGTTGGCTTATGCTGCTCGCTGCATTTAGTGTTTAGTTTGTGTCAATGGCATTTAAGTTTCTTTCCTGGAAATGCCAAAATATAACCAGAGGCGCATAGTTAGAGGTTTTGACTTATAGTCTTCTAGAGAGGCCCGATAACTTTGAGGAACTTGGACTTTGTAATGAGACATACAGATATTTGTTTGTGTGGAAGGTAAAGTCTTTAAAGCCCTCGGAGCTTTCTCTTATTCTATACTTATCTTCAAAGGTTCAATATGCGCAGCAGAATATACAATAGTATAATAGGGTTTCAAGTCACGTTCTCAAATATCTAGAAGAAGGGCTCTAGAAGTCAATAAAACTACAATCCAGTTATTCCCGCGTTTTGATTCCAATTGCCAGGAAGTTTATACTCTCGATATTATTCCTCCAATTAAGTCATTAACCAAGTTGTCTATATATACCACACAGCACCCGCCAGCATTCTCACAATCAATACACTTTCTCATCACTTCATATTTTACAGAGCAAAACAGAGAAAAACCAGAGCATTTTCTTTTGAAGCTTTCCTTCCTTCCTTCCATTAAAAGAAATCAACATGGGTGATGCAGAATCTTTGCATTCCGCTGATGAGCTGAAACGCCAGAAGAAAATCAAAATGGCCATATATATTACTATTTTCGTTGTGTTTCAGATCATAGTTATCACCACAATGAGTCTCACTGTCATGAAAGTTAAGACCCCCAAGTTCAGGCTAGGCAGCAACATCAACGTCCAAAGCTTTGAATCTGTCCCGGCAACGCCTTCATTCGACATGAAATTCACAACCCCAATCAGTATCAAGAACTCAGCCAACTGGGGTTCCTACAAGTTCAATGCTGGCAATGTCACATTTCAATACCAAGGAGCGACTGTGGGAGTAATTAATATCGAAAAGGGCAAGGCTGGATGGCTTTCGACCATAAAAAGAAATGTGGAGGTGACTTTGAGTTCAAATGTATTAACTGGTTCAAATCTGAGCAGCGAATTGAGCAGTGGGGTGTTGACGCTCAACAGTGTAGGCAGATTGAATGGAAAAGTTGCAATTATGTTCATAATGAAGAAGAAGAAGGCTACCAACATGAACTGCACCATAGCTTTTGATGTGGCAGCCAAGACCCTCAAATCTTTACAATGCAAATGAGCGGAGTAGCTAAGCATCCAGGCTTCATCTTCAGCTTTTGGATTGCGACTAGCTAGTTGTTGATTTGTGACTTTTCTTATTCTTTTTATTCTTTGTATCTGTGTGGCGATCGGATTTATTATAGAGTTATAATGATATATTTGTTTTCGTTACCACTCCCCTGTACTTATTTATTTCTTTGATATTTACTTATTTATAGTCTGCTTCTTTGAAGTGCCCGATTCTTCTCTAATGGTGGGTGCAAGAAAATCCTCAAGTCATACGTATTTCTAAATGATGGTTGTGCGCCTCATTGATGGGATATGTTCTTGACATGGAGACTGGATCATTGTAAACATGACAATTGCCCAAATGCTGCAGCTAGGCTACGATGTAAAACAAATAAAAGCTCCAGGGGGCCTCACTTGACTCTATATATTGCAAAGAAATCTCCAGTTCTGATACCCAATTGACCAACAGCCATGATGGAGCCTGACAAGTTCCCCATATTAGTACCTAAGAAAATGCACAACATGAAATGTTATGCATATATTGCTGCGTTTGCTGTGTTCCAAACCTTAATCACACTGGCTTTTGGATTATTCCCGATGCCAACTGAAACTCCTACGGTCAGGGCGAGATCTGTGGCAATCCAAGACTACTGTGCTTCAGATGAACCCTTCTTCAACATTACCCTGGTTGCTGAAGTTGCAGTGAGGAACAAGAATTTTGGGCATTTTAGGTTTGATCCCAGCAGAGCTAATGTCACATATGGGGGTGTCATAGTGGGCAATGGAGACATAACCAAAGCAAGAGCCAGTGCTAGGAAGACAAGGATAATGAATGTGACCATTGAAGTGAGATCAGCTGGGGTACTATTAGATGGTGCCAGGCTTAGCAATGAGCTTAAGTTAAAATAACAACAATGGCCTTGTAACTAAAAACCAAAGTAATATTATAGTTCTACAACAAATCCAAGTTTCCCTCAAAGAAGAAAAATATATACCAAAGAATAATGAAATAATAAAATGATCCAATTAGTCTTGATCACTCCCAAGAGCTAGTGCGGATGCCGTTGCCTCGCTTGCCAGGAAGGGGATGTGCTTGGAGTTGTGGCTTGTGCGACCTCCATCCTCTCTAGTTCATATTTTATCTCGGGATGGTCTTCCTTGCCCTCCGCCTGGTGCTTAATCCTCTGTTGTGTGGTTTTTTCGTTTGTTTTGTTCTTTTGGTGTTTTTAGTTCTTTGGTTTTGTGTGTCTGTCCTGTTTGTTTGGTTGGGTTTGGCTCCCCTTTGGGCCTTTGCCGTTTGGCTTTTATGATATCTTTGTTGACCAAAAAAAAAAAATCAAATGCTATGGTGCAGTCCATGTGGAAGACTTCCTCTTCTTCATGATAAATATCAATTCCACCTCTCCAGTCAATTTAGCTTGGCTGCTTAGCATCAAGACCCCATTCCTCAACTCACTGCCAGAATTGGAACTGTTCGGCAATGCGTTTGAATTCAAACTCACTGTGAAATCAATCTTTTTGGTGGAACGCATTCCAGCCTTGATATAGGATTCAGGAATAACAACTTGCCCCACAGCCAGGACTTGGTACGTCGCAGTGCCTGCATTGACTCTTCTGGCGCTTTAGCTCATCAGTGGATTGCAAAGACTCTCCATCACTTTTTGGATTTCCATTTGCTGGTGCCAATGGGTTTTGTCAGCCAGCATTCTTTGATTTCCTGGAAAGCTTTGAACTAGAAAATGTTCTTTTGATGTTTGGGTGTCTAGACTCTAAAGTGTAAAATGAATTGAGCAAGTGTGATATACCTATATTTAGTTGTTTGTGGAATGTGTTGAGAGTGTCTGTCTCACATTGAAAAGTTAAAGGACCTGGTCTGGGTTTATAAGGAGTTGGGCTACTCCTCCCATTGCCAATTGGTTTTGGTGTGGAACCTCAACTTCCTTCAAAATGTTGTCTTCTACAGCGTGTTAATCTAGTGTTTGCACAATCTGATTGAAGAGATGTTTAGTTTGTGTCAATGGCAATTAAGTTTCATTGACCAAATTGTCTATAAATACCACACAGCACTCACCAATATTCTCACAATCAATACACTTACTCATCAGTTCATATTTTACAGACCGAAACAGAGAAAAAGCAGAGCATTTTATTTTGAAGCTTTACTTCCTTCCATAAAAGAAATCAACATGGCTTGGAAAACAAATGATGCAGAATCTTTGCAATCCTCTGATGAGCTGAAACGCCAGAAGAAAATCAAAATGGCCATATATATTACTATTTTCGTTGTGTTTCAGATCATAGTTATCACCACGATGAGTCTCACTGTGATGAAAGTCAAGACCCCCAAGTTCAGTCTAGGCAGCAACATCAACGTCCAAAGCTTTGAATCTGTCCCGGCAACGCCTTCATTCGACATGAAATTCACAACCCAAATCAGTATCAAGAACTCAGCCAACTGGGGTTCCTACAAGTTCAATGCTGCCAATGTCACGTTTCAATACCAAGGCGCGACTGTGGGAGTAATTAATATTGAAAAGGGCAAGGCTGGATGGCTTTCGACCATAAAAAGAAATGTGGAGGTGACTTTGAGTTCAAATTTATTAACTGGTTCAAATCTGGGCAGCGAATTGAGCAGTGGGGTGTTGACGCTCAACAGCGTAGGCAGATTGAATGGAAAAGTTGCAATTATGTTCATAATGAAGAAGAAAAAGGCTACCAACATGAACTGCACCATAGCTTTTGATGTGGCAGCCAAGACTCTCAAATCTTTACAGTGCAAATGAGCGGAGTAGCTAAGCATCCAGGATGCATCTTCAGCGTTTGGATTTCGACTAGCTAGTTCTTGATCTGTGACGACTCTTATTCTTTTTATTCTTTGTATCTGTGTGGCGATTGGATTTGTTTTCTTTACCACTCCCCTGTTCTTCTTTTGTTCTTATTTTTTCATTGAATATACAATGGTAATATTCCTTCTGTGAGCGGATTCCGTTATTATGTATTATGTACTGGTGATTTTTTTTAATTTTTAGTTAACCCTATTTTTATGTAGTTAATTCTATTTTATATGTAGTTAACTCTATGAATAAAACCGACAGGGTTAGACATTGGACTTGATTTTTTAACTAATGCAAATACAGTGACCAAATTGGGAAAATTGAATCACGGTGACCAAATTTGATTTTGAGCCAAACCTCAGTGACCAAAAATATAATTAATCCTATTTAAAATAATAAGGTTAATATTTTTTTATAGAGCAAATAAAAAGGTTTGCTGCTTGTTAAACGCAGCGTTCCTTTTTTAAAGAGGGGGGTGAGCTACGTTAAAACCGAAGCATAGATAATATCAAAACCAAGTGTTAAAAAACAATTGGACTTTATGAAAGTGGAAACGACGATGTCGCAGATGCGCCTCCTTCCACGCTTGGTCTTCTTCTTGTTATGCGAAACATTCCAAGACCTTGTCGTTGATGGACCACGCAACTATTACACACAAGCCAAGCAAAGATAAAGCACACACGAAACCACAAAGTACACACACACACACACACACAAAGAACACAAGAATTTATAGAGGTTTAACGTTGTGCCTACGTCCTCTTGGTGATCCCCGAGAAATTCACTAGTATGAAAGAACCCATTTGGTTACAATGAAGAATCCCCTTTGATCTCTAACAAACCCTAGCTCTCTTTTCTCTTACCCTTGGCTCAAACCCAATTTGATGCCTTAGCTTTCTCATGTTACAATAACCTAGCGCTAAAGTACCTATTTATATGTCATAGGGCTTTAGTACAATTATACAAGGAATATGAAACTTAAAAGACTCCAAAACTAGGAGAAAATATGTCCAGATTCGCCAGGTATACGCGCTGGATTTGCACCTCCCGCTCGAGCACCACTCGTGCCTCTCGAGCGCCTGCATTTGCTCGAGTTTGAGTATCTGCCACTCGAGTAGGTGCTCAAGCGCTTGGGTCTGGGTGAGATGTACCGCTCTGCTGCTCAAGCGCCTATAGTTTCAGCTTGAGCGGCAGAGCCCAGTCAAAACTATTGCAGCTCTTTTGACTATATGTTTCCTTCACTCCTGTTAGAAATATGCCCTTAAAGCCAACTAATTATGTAATAGTTAGAGTTAATGACATCTTTGATAAAAGACATATTATGTTAGCAATGGGCAAGAAATGTTGTTTTATACATTAAATCATCCTATATTATCTTTCAATATGTAGAACAACCATAGTCCAAAGAATACACGAGTGGATATGAGAGCTATGTAATGAGATTGCATACATGGAGACTTCTCATCATCCCTAAATCCTGAATATATGTTCATGGTTATAGGAATATTGATTGGACGTCAATATTCCGCAAAGACCAGTACACAAAGTATCGTCTCTATATGTAAGGAATGGCAAGGTCTCAAGTCATTAAGTATGGAGGCACATCGATATGTGTGTAGGTGCTTGTAGAACAACAAGTACATTGAACACGATCCAACACATGAGTTACAGCATGAAAGTATTTACTCACATGTCAAGCTGGAACTCATAAATTGCAATGGTGCAAACTAATCCTTAGACTTGAGGCATCATAGATGTTTTGTGGCTATGTTGTTAAGCTTTGAGGGCACTATACGGTCATGTTGAATTATGCATAGCTTAAAGGTGTTCATCAGGATTCTTAATAGAGTCATGGAAGCAAATGAATGTACAACAAAGAATCTCTACTCTCAGTAAAGGAGAGAGAATACTTCAAGATATGATTGTTCAAATCTCTGCGCAGAGTAGTGGATAAGACTTGAAAGAAGAAGTCTTCAAGTCTTACCATGATAATCATATAAAAGAAATTATTCACATTAGAGCATGTCCACCCCAAAAGGCTAAGGCAAGACTAAGGCAAGGCAAGGGATGACACTATTCACATGAATAGTAGTGCCTGCCTTGCCATTTTTGATTCAACCCCGAAAGGCTAAGGCAAGGGCAAATACTATTCATTGTACTTTATTTCCTATTTTTTTATACTTTTTTTTTGTCTGAATTTTTTTATACTTTAAACTATTAATTTTGATAAGTTTTTCAGATAATATTTTTGGTTGCCACGTGTCACAATTTATTATAAAATTCTCATCTAAAATTTGAGATAACATTTTCGGATAAAATTTTTGGTTGCCACGTGTCCATTTTTATTATAAAATTCACATATCACTTATCATACAATTGAAATACCTACTCACTCATCATACAATTGAAATCCTCCCGGTCCTCATAGTCTGACATAATCGAGTACAACGACGACTCAATCATTGGCGGAGGCGTTTTCGCCGGATCACGACGTGGGGGAGTATTTTCCTTCGGAGGAAGTAATAGTGCCATTATTTCCGACACGGAACGCACCACTGGAACCAATTGCGGGCATTGCTCACTTGAGGAGCCATGTGCAGTGACGGACCCAGGATCCGAACCCCGTAGGGTCATAGTGTAAATGTTCCAAAGAAAATTTAAGAATGAGTTATTTTTCTTATCTATTTTTTCTCTTCCAAATTTTATTCCTTTCTTGGAAAAATATACTTTGATTTCCATTAAATCATGAATTTCATCCAAGCAATATTGGTTTTAGCACTGTTGGAAAAACAAGCCAAAATTTTACTGGGTCAGATATTTTGACTGCACATCTGGCTCCAATCTGTTGGTTACTGCATTTTGTTCTAATTACAATGAAGAAAAATATTTTTTTTGTGTGTGTGTGTGGAGAAATTCTTAAGTGTTAATAGTGGTGATAAAACCATGTTGTGGTCATCCTTAGATAAAATTACTAGTAAAGCTCATCATTCATGGATTCTAAGAAATAATAATAAATGGGATTCCAACAACAAAACAGGTTAAAAAGATTAAAAAGAACTCACTGGACTGGAGGTC